CACGATATGATAAACGAATGTCCATTATGCTCAGTTTAGCCAAGTGCTCATTTGAGTTACGCAGCCAGCCCTGCTATTAATCTAAAAAATATGTCTCAAATTTTCTTTCCATAGATTTTTTAAATTTGAAAGTTATGCTCAGAAATACAACAATAATTTTCGTGTTACGATATTTTGAATCTCGTGACCAAAATTGGTAATGATTTTCTTTTAATGTAATATGTTCGTTAAACTTTTTTGTTGTAAAGAACTTTTGTTTATTAATAAATAAAATCAAATGTATGTTGTAGAAAATATTTTTATGAAAAAAAGTTGTTACACGAAATTTACTTAGTCTCAATTTCTTAGGTGTATAACAAAATTCGGAATTTTCAAAATGCTAAGGCTCGGCCAATTTTCAGTTTAAGAAAAAACCAGCCAATAAGTTTTTTTTAGTGTTTTGAAGTTGACCAATTGTTATTATACATGATGTCGAAATTAAAACCCCAAAGTCAAAATGTTTTGACTTGAGGCAATTATATATATAGTAAAAATCAGTTTCGACCTTATTTTGACCCTATTTTGACCAGATCTGCAAAACGGTCAAAATAGTTTCAACTTCATGTATAGTTATTATAAGCAATTAATGATTATAAATGATCTGCACCATAGATATTTGAGAGTTTTTTGAGGTTGATGGAGGAACACCTATGCCAACTAAAAAAGGTGATTTTTAATTTAATAATTAAAACATTAATATTAGTATAAATGTATTATAAAAATATATATACATATTATAAGGTATTTCATTACAATTGGATCAGTGGGATAAGTTGAAATCATTAGTTGATGAAATAAAAAATTTAAAATAAATTTAGAACCTTTTTTGAAAAATATATTATTTGGTGTTAGTATTACTAAATATTTTTTTGAATTATTTGATTAATAAAAAATTGATATTATAAATTATAATTGTTATTGTTAATATTAATATATTGATAAATTTATTGTAAAATAAAATTACAAAATTTATTAATAATTAAAAGATTGTTCATATTTATATAACATTATTTAATTTTATGCTATAAATAATAGTGTCATGAAAGTAAACCTCCTAACTGTCTTGCATATGCCATTGGTTTAACATTTGGATGTGGCTATATACAAAATATAAATATATGAATGATGAGAAATGAATATATTATATATATATAAGATGTATGAGATTCAAACTTACCACAGCAGTGAATGTCTTGTAATTTAACTCCAAGTCTGGTGTGATGACAATAAATGCTCCTTTGTTTCCCATTGTGTCACTTTTGATTGATAAAAAATCAAAAAATCAAATTAATGTATGAATGATGAATGAATGATGCATAAAACCATACAATCAGATTTACTTACCAGTAATTAGGTGCTGAAAAAACAGTTATGCATTTACCATTATGTTCTATAACATAACCATTTTCTTTAACTTTATGACTTCTTATTAAATAATCTAAATAACAGTAATAATCAAATAAATAGATAATAGTAATAATTATTATTATCAAATAATTTAATTAATTCAGTGGGATAAGTTGAAATCATTAGTTGATGAAATAAAAAATTTAAAATAAATTTAGAACCTTTTTTGAAAAATATATTATTTGGTGTTAGTATTACTAAATATTTTTTTGAATTATTTGATTAATAAAAAATTGATATTATAAATTATAATTGTTATTGTTAATATTAATATATTGATAAATTTATTGTAAAATAAAATTACAAAATTTATTAATAATTAAAAGATTGTTCATATTTATATAACATTATTTAATTTTATGCTATAAATAATAGTGTCATGAAAGTAAACCTCCTAACTGTCTTGCATATGCCATTGGTTTAACATTTGGATGTGGCTATATACAAAATATAAATATATGAATGATGAGAAATGAATATATTATATATATATAAGATGTATGAGATTCAAACTTACCACAGCAGTGAATGTCTTGTAATTTAACTCCAAGTCTGGTGTGATGACAATAAATGCTCCTTTGTTTCCCATTGTGTCACTTTTGATTGATAAAAAATCAAAAAATCAAATTAATGTATGAATGATGAATGAATGATGCATAAAACCATACAATCAGATTTACTTACCAGTAATTAGGTGCTGAAAAAACAGTTATGCATTTACCATTATGTTCTATAACATAACCATTTTCTTTAACTTCATGACTTCTTATTAAATAATCTAAATAACAGTAATAATCAAATAAATAGATAATAGTAATAATTATTATTATCAAATAATTTAATTAATATCAAAAAAATCTTCAACAGCTTACCAAGATTATTTCTTTTCAAGAAATTCTCAGTAACATCTGGTCCAAATTGTACACCTAATCCTCTTTTACTTGGACTTCTTCCTGGTAATATTTGTGGATCTTTTTTGTCATAAAAAAAAAAAGAATTTTGATAAATAAAACTTGAAATAACCATAAATTACATTTTTAATGTTTGTCTCTACCTGACCACAAAATTTCACACATCAAACTTTCGCTATTTATTTGTCGACTGTTAAATCTGTTAACTTTTCTTATTTCATCTAATGTGACATCATCACGACTAAACAATCCACCGTGTACCACCATTATCTTGTTCTTTATAACATTTGCAAGTGGTAGGGTGGTAAAAGTTTCTGCAAAAAGTTCAAACATTTCTTTAGAATATTTGGCATGCACCTCTCCCTCAAATCCATATACTTTATTCATATCATCAGTTTCATGGTTCCCTCTTGTTAAATGCAATGAATTTGGGTAAAGCCATTTGAAAGCAAACAATGTCAATATCACCTCTAAACTAAATGATCCACGATCAACAAAATCACCATTGAAAAGATACATGTTATTTGTAGATGGTAGACCATTAAGATCAAAGATATTTAATAGATCATAAAATTGTCCTGTTATATAAATTTTTATAAAATATCTAGTTAATTAATGTCATGTAATCATAATATTCACATTAATTTTTTATGTCACTGATTCATAAACAACTTATCTTAGACTGAGAGCCATTTCCAAATTGTTCACACATTCACTGATTAACCAATGTATTCTTCATGTTTCTGCTTTATCTAATACTTATTTAATATAAAAATTGCTTATAAGGTAAACTCCTTCAAACACTTGATCTGACTTGATCTGGAAATTTTGAAAAGTCAATGAAAGTATAAAGAACAATATTAATAATAATAATAAACTTTCTAAAATGCAATCAGGTGAGTTATCATATGACTGATTAATATATATTTTTATTATTATTCTTTGATCAATAATAAAGGGTACAACCCCAAAATCCATCCGGATATGATGAATTAATTATTAATACTATTTCTTTAAATTAAAGATGAAAATCATTTTGATGATAATCATCATCCAACACAAGAAAAAAAACTATTTTTGATAACATCCACCTTTTTTTTTTTAATTTATGCTTCCCAAAAAATTATGTTTAGATAAAAATTTTGTTTTCACCAACTTAACATTAAATATTAAATATTAAATATTAATGTTGAATGTTGAAGTTTAATATTTAATGTTTAATGTTTAATGTTTAATGTTAATTAAGGTATCTATACAACGCTTTTAATTTCGTGAAACAGCAAAATCCTTTTACGTAAATTATTTATTTTAAAAAAAGTGAAAAAGTGAATGATCATTCCTGAATCAGATATTTTCATTCCTGAAATGGATAATTTTGTTACACCAATTCAATTCTGTTTGAAATATTTTAATAAAATAAAAAATTGGTTTGTTACACGAGTAAAATTTTCTATTTTATATATGTAATTACACTTCCTGTGACATATTGTTTGACTGTTATTATTAATTGATTGAAAAAGCAACAGCTCAATCATTAATTAATCGGAAAAATAATAGTTCTTCATTTATCAAAGAAATTAATAGTTTTGTTAACCAAAAAAGGAATGGTTTATTGTTTGCTAAGATATAATTGATAAAAAAAAACAATCATTTGCTCTTTCATTAATTGATCAAAAAGGTAATAGTTCTTTAAAATATAACAATTTTACCTTGGTATAATAGACATAAAGACAATAATGCTTCATGATCATAGAGAATATAATCATAATGCAACAACTTCGTGAAACTGCAAATTCCTTTTTATAGATAAAAAATTACCATAAAGACATTAAATCATTTTTAAAAAAAAATCCAAAAAATCAACAATTAATCCTGAAATAGAGATTGAACATTGTACTGGATTGATTTTGTTGATTTCTTATGTTAAAAAAATTTTTACAAGTAAAAAACTATATTTACTTACAAAGATATGAGCTGTTAAATTTGTTAGTTTTCTGCTATTTAATGAGTGGTCCTGGATTGTGGGTATAAAATTCATACATTTAAACATACGAAATAATTAGAACATGTCCCAAAAGAATACTTTTGCAAAATTTATCTTATTAATAATATTATTATTTATTAAATATAAATTTATTCCACAATGGTAGCTACTGACTTTATTTATTTTTACTATATTTATTTATATTTAAAAAAACAACAACAGTAATTGTTAAATAATAATAGAGGGAAATTTATGATATTAATTTTAACACTATCACAGGTCAAAAAATGGCAAAACAGCTATATTTAAACCAAGAATTATAACTTAGATTGACAACTAGTTTCAGAATTTCACACCAACTTTAGAAGCATGGTAGATTTTGAATGTTAAACCTGGGCGTCCATTTTTCTGGTAACTTTATGATTATAATTGAAACTATTGACTATTTTTGGTAGGCTTGTGAAGCAGTTAAAAATACACATAATGCATAGTTTTGGAAATTGTATGACCATTTAATGAAGCTTTCAATGAAAGATCTGCATGATCTTAGCCAATAATATTTGTTTGGATCTTGGATAAAAACAATCCTAGATTATGTAATTTTAGAAATTTTGGAGCTATAACCAGAAACTCAAGCTTGTACAAATCTACATATAAAATATTGTGCTATTTCTGCAGTGGTTCCAGGTCATGGACACTAATTGATTTAACAATAAAGTGGTACAATGGATTACAAGTTGGGCTGCTTAAAATATTCTGGTTTGTTCGTGACGATACCTATAATTTAATTATAGTTTCTTACTATTACTATAAAAATTAGCAATCAAATGATTTTCTTTCTTTGCGCAAATACAGAGCATCATTCAATTCCTAATATTCTTAGGATTGGATGGTTGTAACAAATATGAAATATCTTAGAGATGCAGTAAATCAGAAATATCCCAAGACTTTTACTAACGTTACCGAACTGCACATCACTAAAATTATACCTACCACTCTATTCACCCGAAGGTGAGATACTGGACCGGGTGGGTAATTAACATTGCTTCCCAGGGTTGAAGTAAATTCTCGAAGATGCAATCTCATTGTAACATTTCCATTCTCCAAGAGTACAGCTTGCGGCGACGCAAACACGCTACTTTGTTTCACTGATGTTTCAATTACATTAAACCTTGACCCGTTTTGCATACTTACAACATGGTATGATATAGTAAGCTGGCGCTCACGTCATTCATTGTTATTATTATTGTGAAGAACTATGCGTTTGTCACCAACAGATGTTATTTGATAAATCTGTACTTTTATGCAAGCATCAGATTTTCCAGAGATAAATTAACTTGTAAAATTTAAATAATGATCCATTTAGGATGTTAGAAGTAATAGATGCAGTAGTTGGTTTTTTGAAAGAAAACAACAAGATGATATTATGGGCACGTTCTACCAAGCTAACAACAAAAATATAAAAGAAAAAATGACAATACATGTAACAGACTCGCGAAATATTACGATTATTAATAGTCTTGTCTTGAGTGATATTTTAATTTCCACAGCTACATAGTAATGATTGGTTTAAAAGAAGATGCAATAACAGAAGCAATGTCGGAAGTTCGGTTTATTTAGTATTAGAGAGAGAATAAATTAACATTTCTTTTTCCACCAGTTCTGCAATTTAATTAAGTAAACATCAATGATACCTAGTCTTCCGCAATGTAGGTAGATACTGAATATGAAAACCTATTACAAGGTCGGCTTCATAACCTATCAGGATCATCCACCGTGTCATACGGTAATATTTTCGACAAGCAACTAAGTGGATCTCACAGTTCCACCACTAACCTCAGGGCACAGGTGTATGATTAACGCCTGTCTGTTAACATCAAATATTTCATTAACGTAACGAATTATGTGGTATATGATAGAAGAGTTTCTCTCTCAAGACTATAAAGTCACACTATTGTGGTAGAAGCATTTCCCTGGTAGTGAGGATAATGCTTATTATGATAGAAGCGGTCGTGATGATGGAAGAACTCATAATTAATATCATCCGGCTAGATTTGACAATTATACTGGATAATTATTAAAAAAAAAAATTTTTTTTCCAAAGCATGCAGAATTTGAAGATATAAAGATGCGGAAAGTACTCGTTATGATAAATATCAAAGGTGTAAAATATATTTATTTTTGGATTTAGAAAGGAAAAACCGATCAATTGTCAAATGACGGCGATAATTACAATAATTCTCACAACTAATTGCATTAACCAAACAACACAAAACCTCTAGACCGATTAACTGATTTATATGATATTTAATGTTTTGTTATGTTTTTTCACATTACTATCACTCTTAATAAGAATTTAGCATGTGAATACGGTTTAAGGAATAAATACAAGTTTAATTTTAAAATTTATTTGTGAATGAAATTTTTTTTTTACCAGTTTTATGATAATAGTTCTTACAGACATTGCACTTTTTCGTTTTTAGAAAAGCGAGGATAATGACACCAGGTTGATAAGCTACCTGTCATATTATATAATTTATTATGTAAAGCTTTCAAAATAAAAAAGAAGTTAGTCGATTCATTGTTCTTAATATTTGGATGATCTACAAATAACCAGTTAATTGGTGCAAACATATTGCCGAGTTGTAACCTATTGTTACAACACCTATATGACGTGAAAAGGTTGTAACCCTTGCAGCTAAATGCCGAATGGCCGTATGCCGTATTTTTGTGCCGTATGCCGTATGTGTCAGTCATATGTTGTGCCGTATGCAAACATAACTGCCGTGTGCCGTACGTTATGCCATGTGCCATATGTTGTGCCGTATGCAAACGTAAATGCTGCGTGCTGTACGTTGTGCCATATGCCATACGTTATGCCAATATGCTGTATGAAATAATTAACACAAATTTTTATTTTTCAAATAAATATTAATCATAGTCCAACTATTTATATTAGTATCATTTTCATTTACTTCATTATTATTATTAAAAAAATTAAAATCAATAATGTCTCCAATTATTAAGGTGTTTCTTGTCCGAATTGAATTATCATTTGAATTAACATTATTTAAATAATCATTTTCTGATTCTAAACTCATTAAAGTACCAACTGATGAATCATTTGGTACATTTCTTAATTCATTGCTGGTTGAAGTTTGTTTTTTTATAGATGAAAAAGGAGGTTGGAGAGGAGGACTTTCATAAAAGGTATGTTCATTATTCTCTGCATCAGAAGTTACATTGGTAATGGTGGTCAAATTTTGTACTTGTTCATTCATTGATAAAATAATGTTCAAATTAATTATCAATATTAATAGATGATGATGATGATTCTTTTATTATTGGAGAAGTGTACTGTATATATAATGAAAAAAACATTGAATGATTAATCATCAAAAACAATGTTTTTTATTATCTGAGTCATATAGACTTGGGATATTTTATTCTTAAAAAAAACCGGTTGATAAATTTTTTGATGTGACATAAGCTAGGGTTACGGCATTCGGCACATGACACAGCATATGGAAAGTGACGCTGATGTCGTAACCCTCAAGTGTTCATATGTTTGCACCCTTAGTTAACCACAAATCTCAATTCTCAGGATTTTTTTTTTAAATTATAAAAAAACAGTTAAACTGATAACATAATCAGGTTGCTGAGTCAGCATGCATAGTAAATAAATATGATAATATTAATATAGTAATAAGGATTATACGGTAGGGATGATCCGGCATTGATTTAAAGATATTTGAATCTATCAAATCACGAAAACATCGTCAAAGTGGTCAATTATTATTCGAACAATTCTTTCTATAATAATAATCATTAAAATAAATAAATGGACTTTTCCAAAGATGCTTAGCTATCAGGTAGATATGAACTTTTTTTTGAACTTGCCCCATTTATCATGAAATGTATGAGTTCCGTGATTGGCACTAGCACTGCTAATAATAATAATAATACACATATGGAATAGGATCGCTGCGCCCAAAGATAACAGCATTTGGTTTTGTTTCTTAATGACCACGGTCACCGGCCCGAACGTGTTAGGTGGGAACAAACTTGTCAGGTAATTAAACACGAAAATAAAGTTTAAACAAATTTCAAATTACTACATGATCATTATTACATTGGACAACACATGGTTCACAATAATAAACTCGGATTCGATACTAAATATACTTATTTGTTCATATATGGTATAATCACTATAAATGATAATGCCGTGTTCCCGATTTAGTTGTACAAAAAAAATTTAATTAGACAAAAAGCTTGAAAAATCTTTGTCCTTGGCATGTGATAAATGGAAATGGGTTAAACGATCACTCGATTTGATTAAATCAGGGCCCCGAGCTATTCTTTATATAGGTCAAGTAGTTTTTTTTTTTTTTATAACAACCAAGCAATTTTTTCATCTTTACCTTTGAATTTAAAGTGAACAATATTAAGAGAAATGAGGTTTCACGAACAAAACAATCAAAGATAAAAATAATTTTCTCACAATTGATCTCCATCTTTTCTTCGAAATTGCTCTTTGGTCTTCCTTTTAACGATTTAATTGATCCCTTCCCGCCTTATTTTCTCATTCGATTTAATATATACCTTTTTTGGTAATAATATAAAATCAATTCATGTTTAAGATGTTGTTTGCTATACTATTTGGATTAAATTTTTAAAAAAAACTAAGCCATTATAGTAATGATCTACTACACATTCATTCAAGAGTTGAATCTTTATTAGCAGGTTGTTTCAGGTTGTTAAGAATAATATAATGAGTATATGGTCAACGAATCATCGTTATCAACAAAACAACAATATTAATATCTCCATCAACAACTTTATACAATAACTCGGCTTTGCCATCAAAACCTATCATCGTTATCAACGACTAACGTACTGTATGTAAATCGAATTTTAGAAGTTTCGTCTTGTAAGCCTCCATAATATCCAAATTATCCTGTAAATATTGTAGTTATATCTGTAAATACCGTAAATCTTTACACTGGTGAATGTTTGATAATAAATAAAAGAATAATTTAAATATATTTATGAAGTGAAATGCAATAATACCCCCAAAGATTCGCAATATCTGTTTTTATATTGAAACTTAATATAACTGTAAATACTGTAGTTATATATCTGTAAAATACTGTAAATTTTTACAATAATTTAAATATATTTATGAAGTAAAATGCAATAATACCCCAAAGATTCGCAATATCTGTTTTTATATTGAAACTTAATGAAAATACGAATGTTATGTAGAACAATCTATTTTATTGCATTTATTGCACTTTTTTAATGACCATTTTTAATATATGTGTCTTTACATTAAATAGATAGTCTCGATACACATATAAATCGTGTAGCTGCTATTGGCTTCCAAAGAGCAGAATCGCTCGATTCTTTATTCATAATAAAAATTATTTGTCTTGTTAAGCTGCGAACAAAAATAATACATAAAAGATATGTATATATGCTACAAGACCAACTGTGCGATAAACAACTAATTTGTACGTTATAAAAAACTTTGTAAATACGAAATTTTATTTTTAACTATGTACATAAAAAAATTTTTGAAAATTAATTAAAAAAAATTTATGATTTATGAATTTTTTCGATATGATTGTTTAAACATTTTCTAGAGCAACATGCCACTTTTACACATTTTGGGCACACTAATAACTTCCATATTTCTTTGAGATCATTAGCACTATAATCACATTCGCAACAAACCGGATCTATAATAGGAACCTTTTTCTCCAACAAACGATAATTTGTACGAGCTTTTTTGATCAATTTTCCGGTCAAGTTGTCGCCACATTTACCGATTATTTCGATTTCTTTATAAGTTTTCAATGCCGAACGATAATTTTCGTCCAGTTCGTGTGATAATGCTATACAAAACAGTATATTGATACGTATGGCCTTTCGTATTTCGTTGTCTTGGTGAAATAAAAACTTGGAAAATTTGGCATCGTTCAGAGTAAGATCTATTTGGGTGATTGTTCTGATGCCATAATTCCAAAGTCCTTGGTCCTTTTGATACGACAAATAATTTTCATATAAAAATGTTATCCCCACCATCAATTCTAACAACGTTTGCAAGTCCCAAGAAGATGAAGGTATATTGTTAATGAATTTCAAGGCAAGAAAATAATAAGCTGTGGCCGATTTATAATCAGGAATGATTGAAGGTGATTTATTATTATTATTATTATTATTATTATTATTATTATTATTATTACTATTACTATTACTATTATTATTATTATTACTATTATTATTATTATTGTTATCAATATTGTCAAGATTATTGTTGTTATTATTTCCTAACCCTAACGAATACATCAAACCTAATCTCGTTGCGGCATTTACAGAACCAAATTTTGTTGCTAATTGTAAAAGTTCGATTGACTTATCGAGTTTACTTAATTTTAAATTTTCGTCCGAATCCTTCAGTAGCTTTATCACTATTTTAACAAATTGATTTTCATCATCGCTAATAATGGGGTGGTCCAACATCGATATTGCTGTGATATCAATTTGATCATTTTTTTGCAAGTTTGGCACCAGGCAAGTGGTTATTTCTGAAAGACCATTTTTAGAAGATTTGATATCAAAATTATTTTCGAGGAAAAGTGGAATTGAGGTCACTTGTCCCATATTATATAATTTATTATTATTTAATATTATTTTATATTATTTTATATTGTTAATATTTATTATATTATTATATTAATATTAATATTAATATTTTTTGGGGAGATAAAAATATAAATAATTTTTTGAAAAATTATATTTTTTTTTTTGTCGAAAGAAAAACACTTTCTTTTTATATTGGAAATTCTTTATTTATTGTTATTTCGATGTTTCTATTTTGTTGATTTTTATTTACGTATTATTATTTTATTTATATTTTATGTTTATACTCTTAAATTATTCTTAATTTATGTTTATATTTCAGTATGAAATAATAACTAATGCATTACCATTCTAGAGAGTTAGATTAGATTATATGCGAGTATATTACAATAAAAAGCATTGTAAACAAATAAGGAAGTCGGTCGTGGATTGGTTTTTCAAAATCGAATGAATGTAAAAAAAAAAAGAATTTCAAATTCTCATACAAAAAAACTAGGTAGGAAGATGAAAAAACGGAATAATGAAATACGCCAATTTCTATATTTGGAAGTCGTGTGGTGTCATATCCTTCCCACTCGACCAAATATCAAATAGAAGTACAATAATAATATTTAATAAACAAATGCTCTGCATAAAAAATTAAAAATTCAAATCCATATAAAATATTATTGAAAAAATTATTGGCGTTTATAGAAAAATTATAAAAAATAGGATTTTTTTTATTTTTTTTGGATTTAAATTTTTAATTATCGTTTCAGCTACGGCTATTCTGATCTTTAAAGGGAATAAAAAATTGACGATTTGTTCTTTTCAAAAGAAACTACACTCTATTTGGGCTTCGCACATGCAAAATCGAAGAAAGTTAAAAGGTAGGAAGGAAGAAAGAAAGCCAAAAAAGAAAATAATTAAAAATTTAATAATTAATTAGTGTTTATTGTGAATGATTAAGAATGATTATAATGATATGATTTAATATAATTAAATAATTAATTTATCCTAAACAGAATCGAGAAGGATTTCAATCCAACTTTTGACTTTTGCCACTTGAATAATTATTACTAAAAAAACTACTATCATTAATCTTTTTTTTTCCACTCGTTCAATAAATGTTTATTATTTATTTATGTTTTGTGCATATTAATATGTTCTTATAGAATTTGTGTTTACAAAACAAGAGTTTACTTTATTTACTGATTATCTCTATCTCTAAAGGATGGCTGTTTTACGTGTAATGGCAAATACAATTACAATTGATTGACTAATTTTACCAAGATGTTCCATTCTCGTGCATTCTCGTGTCCTGTTTTTCCCTCCAATCAGCATCTTATAAAATTGCGACTTTTATATATATATAATGCAAAATTGGGATATTCGAAACTTTTTTAATTAATTAATTAATTATCAAAGAAATAAGCTCAAATTACTCCACGTTACACATTCCAATTTCAAAATAATGTTAATGGGGTGGTAAAAGAACTTGCGAGAAATTATCTTGTGTATGAGAATAAATAATAGTAACAGGGCGGATACTGCGGAAATTCAAGCCTTTTCACCTGAATTAACTGAGCAAGACTTTGCTAATATGGTCTAAAGATTAATGAGCATGAGATGTGTACAGTTTCACACACTATATAACGAAACATTTGGCTTAGCATTATAATTAGCATTAGCGTTATGTCGTAAAAATCTGTTATTAAAGAGAAACTGTATTAATTGTTCTCACGATTTTGTCTGGTTAGTGTAACACATTAAAAATCAAATATTGATCTTTTTTTTTTTTTTTTTTTTTTTATTACAAGCCTTTGAAATAGTTCAATCAACCAAAAATAATAATGTTAATTGAATTAGTAGCAGGGGCGATAATAATAAAAATTATTGTCTTAATAATGGGGAATGTGATTAAATACATGTATGCTTTGTGTTTTATAATTTTAACTACTAAAAGCTTTTTTCAAACATTCTTTACAAATAAATAAATATAAATATATTTATTATTTTATTATTTATTATTATTATTATTGCTGCTATCTATATTGTTTTTTATTATGTCACAATAATAAATTCTTTTATTTCTGATGATATAATATGAGGTTGTAAATTTTTCCTTAGTTCAATTCCTCCTTTTATTCTTTTCAGCCCTTTTTCTTCGTCTAGACTATTTTTAAAAAAAAAACAAATTTATGATTATTCATTCATTTTCCTATAAACAACATATATCTCTACCAACCATTCAATCGTATCAAGCACAGTATGAAAGTTATCCCACCATGGATTATTCGTATCTTTAAAAACATCAAAAAAATCAATTTCTCCAATATTAAATTCGTTGATTTTTGATCTTTTTATCCATAAGAGTGTTTGTAAAGCATAAACCATATCGCTGGCACTAAATGATGGTTCTTTATATCCATAATATTTTACATATTGTGCGTATATTGGTTCATTGAATCCTAATTTGGGTCCTTCTTCTGATATGTTCTTTGATAAATTATCTGCTGTCTCGAAATCCATCTCTAAAAAAAATTCTTTTGATTTTATTTGCGATATTCTTGTTGTTGGTATGAAAGGTCGTGTGTGTATGTATATATGAGAAGGTGCATCTAAGTGTGTATATATATATGTACGTGTATGTGTGTGTATGTGTGTATTACAAAAAAAAAGATTACTTACCCGAGATTTCTCAAAAGGTTATCTAGATTTTCACCTTGTCTATTTTTAAGTTTCATACGAAAAAATGTATTTTCTGAATTCATAATGCTATCATATAAATTCCAATGTCCAACTAATACACAATTATATGTGAGCTAGAGTCAAAGAAGAAGAAGAAAAACTGAAATAACAATAACAATTAATAATGATAATGATAATAATGATAATAATAAAGGATATTCCCAAATGGTTTCAATATTTTTTTGATCAGGATATCGTGCTTTTGCTCTATGTCTTGCCCATCGTTTCTTGGATGTTGTTTGATTGAATTCTCGAACTTCTGCATCTATAATTGTAATATATTTACTATATTGATCCATTGAAATTCTTTTTGCTATTAATAAGCTTGTGTGGCCTATAATTGCAAGCCTGATATTATTATGATAAAAAAATTAATTTGATTTTTTTCTCTTTACAAGAAAAGAAATAATAGCAATGATAGTTACCATAATAAACCACTGTCTTTCATTCCAGATTGAACTGCTAGGAAATAGGCTTGTAATGAGGTTGAGATAATTTCTTTTCTTCTAAATTTTCCTTTTTTGAACTGGTTAGCCTATATATATATAACACACACACACACACACACACATGTATATAAATTAAATTACATATTATCTATATGATTCTCATTCCTCTGCTTTCTCACTCTCCTTTCTCAACATGAATATAGAATTAGTTTATTTTACCATGTCCATTGCTGCTTTAATTTCTGGTGACTCGAGATCTAATACAATATATATCTATAAAAAAAATCAATACTATTAATTTCAAAAATGACTCTTATTACAATAACAATAAAGAAAGGAATGAACGAATGATATCAATAATTAATTACATTCTCGGATCCACTACAATTACTTAAATCAAGCGTAGTTTGACTGTCAAGTACATAAATATTAACATTTAAGTTTTCAGATAAGTCAAAAAAACTAGCAAGATCTATATCTGATCCAAATCCAAATAATATAATTGCTTGTAACTATAAACAAATATAATATATATATAAATGAATATAATGATTAAAAGATTATATATAATTAAAAATATACATGTAAATATTTACTGATTTTAATTCATATGATGGTCTTCTATCTGATTCGTCAAGATCATCTAATGTTCTAACAGGTTTAATATCAATAAACATTATATTTTGTCGTATACATAAATTCTATATAAATTGAAAATTTGAATTCATTGTCCCCACCCATCATAAAAACCCCCCAATTAATTTTAAAATTTCTTTTTCTTTTTCTAAATAAAATAATAATAAATAAAATTACTTTCTACCTGAAATATTTGTGCAGCGCACATTGCGTCAATATCCATTTTAACATATATTTTTATAACGTCCTCAAATAAAACTTTGTCACTATCATCATTAATATTGAATCTTTTTATCGTATCAAATAAATATATAAGTTGATCAATAGCTATAAACATGATTTCTATTTTTTTTTTTAAGATAGAAAAGAATGTTTTTTTAAGACGCGTGAAAAAAAAAAGTACGCAACGTACCAAAAAAAAAAAGTACGCAGTGTACCAAAAAAGGTACGCTGCGTTCAAAAAAAATTTTTCCCTGTGGATCATCAATTCATTTACTATATGTATATACATGACCTCAAAAAGACAAAAAAAAAATTTTTCCATCTTTTAATTTTGAAAAAAAAAGAACGAAATTAAAAAAATTCAATCAAACCAATCAATCAATCAAATATCAATATGGTAAATTGTTTATAATTATTATTTACTACTACTAACTATTGTTATTATTGTTATTATTATTTACTGTTGAATTTATTTATTCAATTAAAAAAATTTTCATTTTTACTATTTTTTCGATACTAAAATACTAAAAAGGATGCTAAACAACAAGTCAAGCTTGCCAAAGTTGTTAAAGTACTTGGTCGTACCGGTTCAAGAGGTGGTGTAACTCAAGTGCGCGTAGAATTTATGGACGATACAAATCGTTCTATCATTCGTAATGTTAAGGGACCTGTTCGTGAAAATGATGTTTTATGTCTTTTGGAATCTGAACGTGAAGCAAGACGTCTTCGATAAAACAAATCAAATAATAAAAAGATTCATTTACTCTTAATTTTTTAGTTTTTATCTTTTCATCATACATATTGTTCAATAATTATATTTATTAGCGATTTAGAAAATGAATAATAATAAAATTATATTATAAAATTTACAAAATTTATTTCAATTGATGAAAAATACAGAGAGAAAGAGAAAGGAAGAAGTATATATGAAACAAACATTTTTTACACGCAGAAAAAAATGCATAGCAATAATAATAATAATATATAATATATACGACGACGACAACAATTATTATTATTATCATCATTAAAGTTTTAAAAAAATTCCAAAACTCTTTACAACAACGACCAACCATTAGTATTACTACACTGCTACAATTATCATTGATTTAATTATTATTAAATATTATAATTGTTTCTATTTGCAAATAATAAATTAATCAACCAATTAATCAACCAATCAACCAATCAATCAATCAATCAATCAATCAATCAATTTATTTTACCTCCCCCCTTTTAACCAACATCTAGTTGATTAATTAGTTAAATGAATTGATAAATTGATTTACGTTTTAAATCCTCTTTGTTGTTGATGATACAATCGATAACCTAAAAATGCGGCACCCATTATAGCACCCATTAAAGCTGTGAATGTTAAATATTTCTTGATAATACGAGATGAGGCATGTGCCGAATCTGCTAATCCTGGTGTAGCAATTGTTGGATTTATTGCCACTCCTGCTAATAAATTCCATAAATCTGCTACTTGATAATGTTTCTTTACTGAAACATTGATTGGTGGCGCCAGTCCAAGACTACGACAATAAACGTCTGGTTGAATCTCGTTTCGCTTTTTTGTTGTTTGTTGTATGTTATTTATAAGAGAATTTTTATGATATAAATAATATATACATATATGTGTGTATATTTAAGTTATGTATGTTATATTTATTACCTGTTGAACTAATTCAACGTCACTTTTTGTTGCAACAAATACTGTAGGAAAATGATCTAAATCCAATCTTTTCTATATATAATATAGATATATGTAAATATTAATATATGTTATAAGTACTATTTAATTAATGTGAATCCGCCACTTACTCTCAATTCAACAATATATGAAAATGAATCAGCGTCATTTGAATCATAAACAAAACATAGTAAATCACAATTATCTAATTTACGTTTATTTTGTAGTATTTCTGCTTCATATCTTGATCCAAATTCTTGCAGCTATTAAAAAAAATATATTTTTAACTTTGTATAAATAAATAAATAAATATATATATATATATATATATATATTATATCAAACATTTTATTTTCAATATCAACACGCTTGCTAAATATATTTATATATTACCACTAAATATTTTTCTGATCCTTTGATTTCAACTGAATTTACAACATTGAAAGTTCTTGTGGTAGATGAATGTTCTTGCACGAATTCTTTATTTACAAAAGCTCTCAATAGTGATGTCTATCAAGAAAGAATATTGAAATAGATAAATAAATATATAGATGTACAGATATATAGGTAAATATAGGCGAATAATAGTGGATAAAGAACACAAAATAATAGCCATTGTCAAAATTAAAATATTAATTATCTTTCTTTACCTTACCAGAACCTGCTGCACCAAGAACATACACTAAAAAAACATTTCTTTGAACCTTATTCGCTTTCCTATCCAACTTCCTTGGTCTCGTAACTTTCAACGCCTTCCTAGTATCACCTTCAAATCCCAAATAAGCTAAATACGATAACGTGGTTGTATGATCTAGTAATGTTGTCATGCTAACAACATAACATACATAATGAAAAAGAAAATTTATTTTGATTTAATTGTTGTTATTATTATTATTACTACTTGTCTTTTATATAAATTTAAACCAACTAATTTTTTTATTATTATTATTACTACTAACCAACCAAAACAACCAAAACCAACTTACTCCTACCTCCATTGTGCCAACCACCCTTGTAATGTGACAGCACCTGCTTCATTTGTTATTGTAGTATTTGGAAAACCGGTGTATGTCCAAGGGTTTGCAGGTGAAGTACTAAACAATTCAAATAATTCATCATTTTTCAAAGCTCCATCATTATCCTAAAAAACAAATATCAAATAAAAAATTTATTTAGCAATATGTTCATTTGTTTGTTCGTTTATAAATAAATAACGCTTACTTTGTCAAAAAGTTGAAATATATCGGCGAAAAATTGATAACCTTTAGGACTTAATTCTGCTGAACAATCACAAGGAACATCGATGCTGAATTATTAATTCATAATTATATAAATAAGGGTATAAGTATATTATATTATTAATGTTATTTTTAATAAATAAAAATGAAGACTACTTACTGTGGAAACAGAAAGTCTTCTCTTAACATCAAATCATCACCATATCCAAATTTTCTTAGCACAGCCCAAGTTGTTTCCAATCGACCACGTTGGATAAACAGTGTATGTAAAAATAAAAATCCAAGCTCCGTTAATCCTATATCGTTAACACCCGCTGGTTCATGTTCTCTAACTACCTCTTTCACACCCGCAAGTTCTTGTTGTTTTAATGGTGCATTGAAACATTTCCTCTAAATAATCATTATGATGAGTTATGACATGACGACGATGAAGAATTGAATAAAAGAACTTTTTTATAGGGGGGAAAGGAAGAAAAGCCAAGCATACCTGAAATTCATTTAATTCGTTATCATTAAGTGTACCGTCTTTATCAGTATCGCATAAAGAAAAAATTCTTTTGAGAGCATCTATACATGCCGGTCTTAACACATGTTCTCTTGAATCATATAAAGGCGCCGTTGGATGAAGAACTGCTTTTTGTGCAAAATAAAAAACTTCTGATACATTTAATGGTTGTTTCGCAGAACATTCTACACAAGTTTCTACTTCCTAAGTAATAATAAAATTAAAATTATTTATTTATTTATTAATTACTAAAATATAATATACACACGCTCATATACCTTGAATTCATTCATTATCGGTATTATTTCTTCTTCTAATGATTGATTTGTTACTTGGTCACCTCGAAGATCAATCTTATTACCAACCAGCACCACTGGAACCTAATTTCTCACAGAATTTAGGTATAAAATGAATTTTAGTATCGTTTCATTAATTCATCTGTTAATGTATAGAAGTGTATATCCGGTAACTAACATTTACACCAAGACTTCGTATATAAGGTAACCAATAAGAAGCTAATCGACTAAATGTATGTGTATTTTCAATTGAATACACAATACATATCACATGAGCTTTCTTGATTTCATTCTCTAGCTGATCACGATTTTCAGATCGTGCTTTTATTGTTATAAAAAAAGAATTAATAATCATAATCATAATACACAATAATTCTCCAAAAATTATTTTACAATAATAATTAATGATTGATTATTACATGATGAATCTACTATATGTGTTATAACCTTTTCCGGTGTGACTTCTGGTGGGATTGTTACTTCTGGGACAACATGCTGAATCTTTTTTTAAAATAAAAATAAAAAATTATTAAAGTTGGATCAATTGTAATATTATTGTATTATATTGATCAAATTAATCGGTCAATTAATTAATCAATCAATATTTATTTATTTACATTTGGAACAAAAGTTTCTCTAATAAGCGATGTAATAAGTGTACTTTTTCCAACACCATCTTTTTTCATTTCATTCCATTTTTGTTATTATTGTTGAAAATCATATTCATAATTGTGTCGATAGTAATAATTATGATTATGAAGTTGCCGATGTTGTAATTCATATTAATTCAATTATTCAATTAAATTCAAAAATATCCATTGATCAAAGGTTTTTTTTAAAGAAAAAATAAATTAACAATTAATTTTTAATGGTCCCTTTCGATTAATAATTCAATCAATCAATCAATCGACAATCAATCAATTAAACAAACAATCGATCGATCAATCAATCAATCAATCAATCAATTAAGCAATCAATCTTACCGTCACCAGCAAGTAAAATTCTTACAACTCGTCGCATCTTTAAAAGTATTGTTTGTTTACGCGTTAACACTAACTTTTAGTTAGTAGTGGTAATGAAAAGCTTTGAAAAGCAAAATGTGAAAGAAAAATGGTTGTTGCTCGTATTTATAGTGATTTTTGTTAAGGATCTTAATATTAATGGAATTCTTGAATAATGTGAAAGGACGATCGTGTTTGTGAGATTTTTTATTAAAATTAATAATATGTCTCTCTCTCTCTGACAGTAATTAATAAATTAACAAATATGTATGTGTGTATATATATAAACATCAACTTATTCTATTCTAATTTCACCCCTTTAAAGGATAAATAAAATTACGTATTGTGCCAAAAATCTTTTTTTCTCCTCAAAAAAAAAAAATTTTTATTTGATTATGGTAATATTATGGTAAGTCAGTGATGTCATTCATTAACACAAAAAAAGATTTAACATTTGCCGTGTCCAAAACTCGCAAGTCGTGCGACTTCCGCGCAGTTTTCTCGCCGATTGTCTCCTTTTGCGCCTGGTCTTTTCGGTTTTGGCGCGATCAACGTTTTCACCATATTTAGCAAAATTGTGTCGTACGGCAAATGTTTTGTTTTATAAAACTGCAACAACAACAATTGAAATTGAGTTGCATTGAATTGAATTGCAAAACAATGCGTTGCAATTGCAATTGAAACCGAA